ATAAATTGAAACACTTTTCAAAGCTCTCTTATCTTACCACAAATGCTGAGAAGCTGAACAATTCAGTCAAAGAAAATAAAGTTTTCCTACTCTTGGTGCCTGACCACAAAGGGATAGAAGATCATGAAAAAACAAACGTAGCTAGGAAACAAGCGAACACTCTGTTAATTGGACTGGAACCGTACTGCTTCTCAATTAGAGACGAACTTAAAGCGGAATTCAGGAACCTCGAAGACTCCATCCGTAACCCTGAATGAGAATTCTCCAACGATCTAAAAGACTCGAAATAGCTATTTATGTAACAAGTTGCGAAATGAGTGTGTTTTAAGCACGGGACGCAAAATTGACAATGCATCGAGTGCTTAAAACACTCTTTTCGCAACGAATTTCATACAAGATTTTTTGTGAAAGCGGATAATTTGAGATTTTCATGCTATTATTATTATTTATTTTTAAACATTTTTTAAAATGTTCTGGTAATCGGTTTCTAAGGTATTGTTTATGCATTATTTAATGACAAAGTTCCGTCAGATTCAAACGTCGCCGTATTTCCTACAAAGTTTTGTGAAAAAATGAATGATAATGACGAGTCTTTGGATATTCAACAAGCTGCTGAAACTGCGCTATCCACGTTAGTGCCCGAGAAGTCGAAAAACTTATACTAGACCACCTACAACAACTTTGAAACCTGGGTCAAAGAAAAACATGTTAAGATTTCATAGAACTAGCTTATTTCCTGAAGTTATCCACTACCTTAAAGCCATCAACTGTGTGGAGTAAATATTCGATGTTCCGCACCAGAGAGAAACTAATAACTAAAGCATAACTAAAGTGAGAGGGCTTGGGCATTTCGTAGACAAGTTTATTTTGTCACCGCGCATCCCAGACGCGCATAGCGTTTAGGCGGTCAAAAAGGGAAGTTTTCAACTTTGCAAGTTAAACATTTGACACGATTAATTAGATTGTCAGTAGCTTTTTCTATTTCTTAGTTCTAGAAAGAGATAACTATAATCTATTGATAATCGGAGCAAATCGGAGTAATAAATTGTTTTTGACTGAATGTGCCTGTTCTTTTAGCTTGTGAGAAGAGAAGATTATTGTCATTATTGATTATTTCAGATCCCACGATTATTCGGCATCTGTGTAATTTTTGTTTTGTGGTTGAGACCTAGACAAAACGTTTCCTTTGAAGGTAAGTTTTATTTCGGTAATTATTTTAACATACCTAATAGTAACAGTGAGTGCACATAATAATCGTACATTGCTAATTTAATTTTTTTTAATTTAAAACATCACATTCTTTTCTGATACCTATGGAACGACTAGGTATTATACCTGGTATTATTTCCAGTAATACAAATTATTTTCAACTGCTAGGTTCTTGTTATAGAATAAAGACTCTCAAAAACATTGAATAACTACGGGATACCTACTGATACTCTGTGCGAGCTCCCAACCGTGCTTCCCTGTTCACTCCCAACCAAGTTAGATAAAAAAGATGCTGAAGATTGCAGCCTTGAGTTGGAGTATGGCAAGGAGTATGGATGGAGTTAAATAAATTATTATGTTCCTACACAGTATTTTATTTATAGGTTTTAATGCTTTAAAGTCTAATAATAAAATTTTCGTTGTCAACAAAATAATCTATAAAAACTACGAAGATTTCTAATTATAAACTTGAAAGATTAAGATTGCATTTTTAAAAAAAAAGCTTCCGGATATCAGGCAAGGAAATCAAAAGTATTTACAAAACTAGAAATAGAACGCTTTATGAAAGAAGCCGATGACAAAGAATTCCTGTTAGCTAAAGTTGTCTTAATTTAACGACATCCATTTGTGCATGAATTTTGGTACCACTGATATCGGAGATGGAGAACTAACCTCTGTAAAACAGTCTCAGATACTGGCTTTTAGCAAAGGCCTGAGACTGTATGATGAGTTATAACTCGTTATAACTCAAGAAAGGGGGGCAGAATAGATCTGTAAACTGTTTGTAATGACAAAAACTGCATTAAGAGCTTTAGCATTTTTTTACATTTTATGTTTTTGACGGGATATAACTTATCTGAAATATGTAAATATCTCATTCAACGACTGTATTCTTGAAACACGTTTTAACAATCTTTAATGGTAATAATATCGGAAATGTTTATCCGTAGATTTTAGTTTATCTAAGTGTAATCACATACATTTATTAATTTTCCATCAGGAACTGTATCTTGCGTCAACGATATACCTTTTAATTGATTAATGATAAGGAAATGCTTGTGCTGCAAAACGGCAGATGCGTACGTATAAATAAGAGGAATAGTCTTCTCATTTACATCTTCTTCGCCGCAAATATACAGAGTGTTCAAGACTTCGCATTGCTCACTTAAAAATAAAGAAATAATATTATGATATACATAGGTATAGTTCAACCATAATAGATAGTTACGATACAAGTGAGTTAACAGCATCATTAAGAATACGTGTGTAAAAGTTGCACAACGAGTGCGTAGCACGAGTTTTGTAACCACACAAATATCGTAATGGAGTTAACTCGCATGTATTGTACAGGGTGAGTCAACGATAGAGTAATTATCTCATTTGTTTCGAGGTTTACAAAAAAAAATTAAATATAAAAGTTATAGGGACGGTTAAGATACACATTTTAAAATTATTATAGAGTATACAGGGTGCTTCAAAAAAGTGTGGCGAATATAACATATGTTTTTTTAAATACAACACCTTATTTTTTATTTTATTTTTAGATTCTGCATAAAATTTCATAACTTTTTTATATATCATGTTATATACCTAAAATTAACAGTTTTTGTAATATTTGAATTTGTTTAAACAAATGTTATATTGCAGTGTGATAAAAAATTGTCGGTGATGCCCTTGTTTCTTAAGTTGGACAACTAAAATTTGGTAGGAGAATTTTATAGAGATATAGAAAAAGACCTATGTAAAGATATTTTAGTTAGATGGTACAGGGTGTTCAAAATATATTTATGAATTTCAACTACTTAAAATTAAGAAATTTCAAATTTTTTAAATGGTACACCCTATATATTATTATTTGATATTTATTATTATGATAATGTATAGGGTGTCCCATAGTTGAAGTTCATAAATATATTATGAATACCATAACTTATCAAAGACTGTACATTGGAGAAGTACAAACTTCTTAAAGTTTCCAGAAAAAGTTCATCTTTTAAACGCCTGAACAATCCGCAATATTTATTGAGTTTTAATGAAACACTGTTTGTATGGTTTTGATATGATAGAGTGGAATCCAAATATATTCCCAGAAATTTCACACACTCCTGCTCAACTACCGATTTCCCGTTGAGTGTTACATAAAGAGACTCACTAGTCTTGCACCTACTGAACGTGACCAGTCCTGTTTTTTCTGTGTTTAGTTTTAGTTTTTTTTCCGAACACCATTGCCTCATCCGATCAGCTGCCAACGAGCACTTACGTGACAACTGATCTACTGTTTGCTCAGATGTTGAAGCCGAGCTATCGTCAGCAAATTGACATAAAATGTTAATATTCATAATTTCTTTGAGATTGTTCACATACAGCAAGAACAAAAGCGGCCCTAGGATGGATCCCTGAGGTACCCCCCGCTCAAGGGAGACAGACCCCGAATAGTGCCTAGCACCCAACTCTGTAATGCAAACTAGTTGTTTACGGTTTGCTAAGTATGACTTTATGAGATCGTAACATGTTCCCCTAATGCCGTATCTGTATAATTGCTCCATAAGAATTCCATGGTCAATAGTGTCAAAGGCCTTCGACAAATCAAAGTACAAACCTGCCACTTTTTGATTTTGGTCTAACTGATCCATAATAAATTCTACTGTCTTAAATACTGCCAACTCTGTTGATTTGTGTTGTTGAAAGCCGTATTGGGTATTACTTAATATATTATGTCTACTTATAAAAACTACTAGGCGGTTGTAAATTGATCTCTCGAAAACCTTTGACACTGATGGAAGGAGCGACACTGGTCTATAGTTATTTTTGAGCTGCGGGTCACCTTTTTTAAAAATCGGGACAACTTTTGCCATTTTCAGGGCTTCTGGGTAGAGACCCGTCTGGAACATTTGATTGATTATTAAGCTTAGAGGTTTACTAATATATTTTGTTACTTTTTTAATTATCATTACAGGCACGGCATCGGGTCCCGATGAGTATTTGTTGGGAAGTTTTGTTAAAATGTCATATATTTCGTCTGCGCTTGATGGGCTTAAAAATATACTAAGCGGTATCCGCTCCCGAGAGTAGGAAGCCTCACCAATCAAGGTGAAAATGATCGCTAAAAATATTAGCTATTTCAGCTGGGGTTTCGATCACTTCTCCAGTGCCTGATTTTAGCGACACGGATTTTAATTTATTTTTTTTTGTTAGTTAAATTGTTTAATAGGTTTAATAACGTTGCCTTCTTTTGATTTAAACGACAAAAAACTATAAGAGTATAAAATGAATATGAATGAACTTATACCATATCTTATACACTGACTATTTAAGATTTTCTTTATCATTGTAACTATTATTTACTAATACTATAATATGTGTTTACAGTTAATGATGGTTCAAGCAATTTGAGACATCCTGTATATTAATTTATAAGGAACAGGAAACGTCGATTCGATACCAAAACGAGATATAGCATCGTAATAAAATAATACATTTTCAGATAGTGTTGGTATAATTTCGTAATTAACTGGAAAGATCAGTTGATGAAACTTGATTTTTTAGGGGGTTATCAGGCCTAGTAGTAAGGATAATGGTAATACATCATTTCCGACATTTTACGTATTTGTATAAAAATATATGATTCACAATAATCTTATTGTAATTAAAATCCTGACAGAATATTTTCCAGATTTAAACACTTTGCATAAAACTAACTATACATATAATAAACAAGAAATAATACCAAAATTATGATCTTTCACTATGCTCAGTTTAAAAGTAAAAAAGTAAAATAATTTTCTTTCCAGGTATTGTACAACAGAAAAAAGAAGACCTCCATCTAGTTATGCGGCCATTAAGAGATCCTGTAGAGAAAGGGGGATGCTGTACGAAGATCCAGAATTTCCAGCTGGATCAAAATCGCTCTATCACCATAAAAAACCATCTTTGACTCCCATAGTTTGGATGAGACCTCATGTAAATAAATATCCATATCTTTTTTAATTTTTTTTAAGATTTTACTATAAATTCTACTAATAATTTCTTGCTTCTTAACTTACACTTAAGTTTGTTTTACACATTTTGTTTCATTCTGTACCATAAAACACACCTTTTCATACTTGATTTCAGTCAGGAAAATTGTGTTTTATAGTATTATGTCCTGTAAAATCAATTTGTCTCTAAGACTTTTCCGGCATGAAAAAAAAAGTTGATTTACCATACTTTTAACGTAAATATCTGTTATTATATATGTTATCTATATTTGTATCTCTCTATTTTCAGGAAATATGCCAAAGACCGACGTTTTTTTCTGAAGATTCAGATGAAGATTCGTTCAAATTCTCAATAGAATCTGGTGAACTAGGTGACCAATGGCTATTGGCAGCCGTAGCTTCTCTGGTACTAACACCCAAGTTCTTGGATAGGGTCGTACCACCTGATCAAGGATTTGACCCAGCCCATAACTATTGTGGAGCATTTAGGTAAGTTCGAGATACTTCCTGTTTCTTCGGTAAAATTCAGTTCATAAACGTTTAAACTATCATCGTCTTGAATTATCCTGTATCAGTGATGAGTAAATGCAAAACCAAGACCACCACTCTCTTGGTCTCGGTCTTGTAGTCTAATAAGTATAGAATGTACAGCCATCGTTCATCGTCACGTGATATACACACAACCAAACTTTATCCTTGCAAGAAATTTAGTCAGAAATAAAGAGTGATCCAATATAAGTTTGGTTGTGTGTATTGTCGAACTCTCTCAATCACTTGCCAACCAAATGCAAGAGATATTAGTGACGTCATTACGGCATTTCGTAAATTACTGTATATAATATTCTGTTTAGTAATTGTCATTGCCATTTGATTTGGGGTTATAATTTTATTGACGGACATCGATCGATGTCAAAATTATAAATCGACTGTTGCTGTCAATCAAAATTCAATTTTATATTGCAAAAATTTCTCAAAGATTTAATCGAAATGAACAAGAGTATGTCCGAACTTGTGTATAGTGCTAATAATAAATTACAACAATTATTAGGTAATCCGAAGGATAAAACACCTCCACCGGAAAGGTCGGGTATTTATGAAATTTCTTGTAAAAATTGTAATCAGAAATATGTTGGGCAAACTAGAAGATCAATATTAACTAGATTTAAAGAACATTTAGCTCAGATAAGATATGGTAGACCGGATAAATCTTGCGTTGCTGAACATATTGTTGATAAAGAACATTGTATAGATCTTAATAATTTAAAATTAATTAAACAAGTCTCAAATTACAGGCCATTAGATGCACATGAAAGCATCAGAATTAATAGAAATATAATTGTTACGCTCGGTGGGCTCTGACTCGGTTGGCTAGTGTAAAATCAAAATTTGTCTGAATAATTTTTTTATTCATTTTATTAGTAATAATAATTTCTTATTATTTTTTTATGATTTTGCAAAAAAAAACTCTTTAACGGTAACATATTATAAAAAATCTATAAGAAAATATTTATTTTTATTTGACACCGGAAGAATCGTACAAAGCCGTTTATTTGTGGAGAGAATCCTACGCAACGACGAGAATCCATTGCTAAGGACAAGAGAGAGTGGCACCGGCACTTCTAATCTCCGAAAAAGCTTTTAGAAAGAGCATTCCTCGTCCGATACTAAATTAACATTCGAAAATTTATTGGATTAAGTCCCTCTAATCCGGCTCGTAGCGTATGTTTAAGCTATTTAATTAGATTTACGACACATTCGCGGCCGATACAAGAGGCAGCCGAGTGGCCGATAAGGACCACTGTTCGTGGCTGGCGGCTCTCACCAATGGGCACATATCGTCACTAAGGAGGTTTAACGGTGCGTTATTCCAAAATCCTTATTTTCAAACTCTTTTAGAAGCTCTTAGTCCATAAGTTATAGCTTCAATAGTCGACAGGATTGGAATTAAAGGGATCATAACTGATGAAGAGCTTATAATAAATTTATTTCATAATGAGTGAAAATCAACAAAAATAAATTTCATTTTATACAGAAAATACCCAAGTAGCATTTTCACGACTTGCGACCACATGTTTACTAAACACAACGTTGGATTAGTTACAAAAAATAGTTAGCTCCCTACCTTGGGTATTAAAATAAATTTAAACGTTTTTATAACGTTGTGCCGACGTTGGACTAGTACTACAGCAAAGTAGAAGCTTCTGCGACGTCGAATAAACGTTGTCTTGTAACCTTTTTTGCTTAAGTGATCTTTGGGTGATTCGGACAACGTAGTTACAACGTTGGACAATATTGAGTTTTCCGACGTCAGTTTCAGGACCTATTCCAACGTTATGCAAACGTCGTCTGTTTTACTAATTCCAACGTTGTTTAGATTTCCTTATTCTTACGTTGGTAGGACGTCGAGTCACTACCTTTTTTTGCAACTGTATTGAACCATAACCTTAAATCTTAAATTTTCACTTCATTGTTCTGTTCAGTCAGACAGTTCAGTGCTGTTTTGTTTTATAAAAAAACTTAATTAAAATGGGACATAAGAAAGGTACATATAAAACTAAATTTAAATATACATCGACATATATTACCGATAGTTTATCCACTCCCTCGTTTATTTAGATTATAGAGGGCGGCACAAGCTAGACTCTAATGACTAAATTAGGCAATCTTGCGTCTAGTATACTACCTGTTAAGGCCGAACTGCGACTTTATTAGTCCAGTATGCGACTACTCGAACTACTCCATCTTAATCTCCAAAACAACAAAGTGAAAGCCGCCATGTTGTTAAATAAGAAAATGTTTCGTTCCTAAAATAGCAATTCCTGCTTTTTGAATACATTAACTTGAAATATTTGACCCCAAAAACACGCGGAAACAATTTTTCGACTGCGAATAAATTATTCTCATTTTACTAAAAAAAAAATTTAAGAAAATTTTTAAAACTTCTTTAAATTTTAAGGCCCATTAGTATTTTTCAAAGTAGAAACAATACATTTATCAATAAAGTTGTTTGCGTTTAACTTTTTTGCCTTGGGTAACGAGTTACAGAGTCGGTTAAAGTGTTTCAATAATTATGATCTTCAAACATCATCCACACTTAAATACTTTTGTTTTGTTTTCCTTCACTGCCATCTGACATATGTCTCTAACTAAATCATAAAAATAATATTTTTACTATAATTATCCCAATTTAGGATAAAACGCGACTTAGACGCCATATTAGTTTTGTATTTCTATGAATTAGGATTTTAAACAACGTTGCAGTTTGTACTAAATTAGGCTTCTAGCCAACGTCGGTATTCAACGTCGTTTCGACCCAAAAATTATTCTCCAAACTAGTGCAGACTAGGGTTGGCACGAGATTGTGCCGACGTTGCGCCCCGACGTTTGGTCGCGTGACACAACGTTGTCCCGACGTCCAAATGCTGCTTGGGTATTGAAAATAATTTTAATTATTTCTCACAACTAATAGTCTGTATTGCCTCCTCGAGCCTCAATGCAATATGTGAGATGACGTGGCATGCTCTCAATTAAGTTGTCCAGAAGATGTTGAGGATTGGCTTTCCATGTTTCGCGGATCATTCCTTTTGGCAATATGGCGTTTTAGCATGTCCCAAGCATGCTCGATCACATTCATATCTGGAGACATCGGTGGCCACCACAGTTTTCTTATACCCTCTTCCTCACAAAATTCGCGAACCGCTAAAGTGCGATGGGGAGGATCATTATCGTCCATGTAAACAAATTCATCCCCCACTGCCTCTCGAAATGGACGCATAATAGGCTCTAAAACGTCTCTAAGATATGAGGCACCTGTCATTGTGTCGTCAATAAAAACAAGAGGAGTTCGAGCTCCGTGCATTATACCTGCCCATACCATAATGCTTTCCCCTTGAAACGGGACACGGGGTTGAGCTGTATTCAAGCATGCTCGTCTTCCAGGCCAAAGTTCGTCGCGAGTCTGACACTAGGCCTATTCTTGTTTCATCACTAAACATGACGAAATTCCAGTTAGGTCCATTTGCTCTCATCTTCTTAGCCCATTGTAGTCGCGTAATTTTGTGCTGTAAATTAAGCTTCGGAACACGTAGAGGCCTCCTTAAATGAAATCCTCTCTCATGGAGTCTTCTTGCTATGGTCTTTCTTGAAACAGTAAGTAGCTACATTCTAAATCAATTCGCTGGCCGAGTCGTACTTTGGCACGCAAGCTTATCTTATGTACTTATGTGTACTCATTCACAACAAAATTCGACGCCAGAGTGCAAGTTGAAGTTGGATTGAAAGCTGGCAAGCTGCAACTTCCACTTCAGCACGGTTAATTAAGTTTTCCAAGTTTTTATGTTTAGAAAAATGGAAACAAAAACGTCACTTATTGATGATTTTTTTCTGAAAAATGTGTCTCAAGCACCCAAAAATGGGGTTTTCTCGCCATTATATAATGGCGGAGAAAATTTTTGGGTTTTTGTAAACACATTTTAGAAAAAATCAATCTAATAATTGAGCTGCAACAATAATTGCCATTTGCTTGACCGAAAACCAAGGGGTTTACCAAAACCCAAAAAATGGGGTGTCCGACCCATATTAATGGCGAGAAAAAGTTTTGGGTGCTTGAGACACATTTTAGAAAAAAATCATCAATAAGTGACGTTTTTGTTTCCATTTTTCTAAACATAAAAACTTGGAAAACTTAATTAACAACTGTCTCGGATTTTGACTCTTCCAAAATCAAAACCAACAACTAACCTAAAAAATGCCATGAGAACGTTTAAACACGCATGCGCAAAATTCGAATTGAAATTTGTTGTGAATGGTTAATTTCGTGCCGACTTTAACGTCAAAGTGCCACTCGGCCAGCGAATTGATTTCGAATGTAGCTTAACTCCTTCAAGGCGAGCTAACTCATTTTTAATAGCAGTATTAGAAAGCAGGGGATTGCGTCGTGCAATTAGGGATATTTGACGGTCTTGCACAGCAGTAGTAACTCTCTTTCTACCTCTTCCAGGCCGGTCTGTAACCTCGTTTGTCTTCCTGGTTTTTTTTAATATTCGCGAAACATTTTTTTTAACATTTTTTTTAACATTCGCTTTAGTTAACTCCTACAATTTCCGATATTGCAACTTGCCGGTAGCCCTGTAGACTGTATTAAACTAAGAAATAATGTTTCTAGGCATTTTAAAGCCCAAATAATGGTCAACTTTCTTCAGAAACCCAAGAGACCACACATCGAAATGTGCAAGAATTTGTAAAAATATTGGGTCTGAACGATAAACATTCTTTACCATATCCATTTTAACAAAAAATCGTTTATTACAGATTATCAAAGCTATGTATAAAAAAAGATTCTTTAAATTCCTTTCCGTATATTTTTAAACGATATATGCAATAATTTTGGCCATATGTTTAGATTTTTAGATGTTGTTGAAGAAATATATTAAAAGTTCATCTAGGTTAGGTTAAATTGTTTCAATGTGATAAAATTCGATATCGCTCTA